CCCCAAAACCCCAAAACCCCAAAACCCCAAAACCCCAGTATATATTTGGATGATGGAATTAAAATAAAACCAAATGCATGCGAAGTTTGATTCGAGTGAGAATGAGAATTTGAGTAGATGAGATTCTGATACTAGAAAAGAAGTTTATTCAATCGGAGTTAAGAGTATCATAAGTCCTGCTAGAGCAAGTGTTTCCAAACTTAATGAGAATGATGATCTTGAAGTAAAATTTGACCAAAGAGAAAATATACAGGAAGAAGACAAAAAAATTACTTAATCGGAACAATGGTAATGATCACATGTGTCCTTGTACTGACAATGAAGCACACCTTGGTGAGGATGATCTCCTTCTCGAGTCCATACATCTCAGTTTATGATATTCTTCTATTCAGAGGTGCTTTTATGGCTGCTTTTACTATCTATACACGAACAAAATTATTTAAACAACACACCACATATCTCCAAAATGCTGTAACTTCCTTTCTATCATCCACGCCAGCAAATTTGACCTCACTCCCTAACCCACCACAGCATTCCTAATTTCTGTATTTCCTTGGTCACTAAGCCCCATCGAGAAGTATCTGGGTTACCGAAAACAGCACTTTTCTTCATAATTTTAAGGTCGTTTTTATGAAGAGTTCTGCTGTTGAAGTTAGGGTTGTTAAGTAATAGTGAGAGATGGCTTATTCGAGTATTAGTGATATAGGTGTGATACACTTTGATAGGATTTAGGAATTGGGATATTTGTTGTAAATTGTTATTTAGAGAGTTATAGTGGGGCCAGACTTCCTCTTTCAAAGTCAACTCTGATCTTTAGCTGCAGTGCGACCACATGGGCGATCTTAGCGTGGATATTTTTAAGAGAACGTCTTGGATGGACATATGTGATTTGATTGATTGGAGGAATTTTAGGTGTTTATGTACTCTCTATGGGTAAGGAAGATACTCACAAGCAAGGAGGCGTGCCTGCATACTTCACTTCAATTATTGCAGTTTGGGCAACCGGAGCATCTGTTGTGGCTTCACGTCAGCTTAACATCTACAAAGTTCATTTTAGTTTATTTGGCACTTCCAACGGAATACATTTCGTTGTTGCGACAGTCATCTGTTCTTTCGTATTCGAGGACGTGTTTCACTTTGAAATGTACACAAGTTATAACATTTTCATGCTCAATTTAAGTGGATGTCTCACTCTGAATATAGTGCATGCAGCTTGAGGATGTGCCTTCATGGTACTTATTATGTAGCCACCCAGTACATAGAAGTTATTTATGTAGGGCAGATAAGGAATTTGGAGATAATATTCACTATTTTCATTGATATCTTCGTGTTCAACTGCACGTTCACATCAATCGATATTATTGGCATGTCAATTCTTGGGATCTGTATTGCAATTTTGTTGGTGGTGAAGTTTATATAATATTAGATTAAAATCTTCTTCCTATAATTCACTTTCAATGTGCAATTTTATCACTGGGGTTTTGGGGTTTTGGGGTTTTGGGGTTTTGGGG